ATTGTCTTCTTCCTTCTGCTCTTCTTCTTCATCATCGTTTTCTTCTTCTTCTGTAAGCACTTAGTACTACTGACATTTTAGCACTGCTTTACTTGTGTCCCAGAAGTTTGGGTATCCATTGCTTTCATTTTCATTGAATATTAGGATGTCTTTTATTATTACTATTATTATTATTATTATTTAATTCTGTCTTGACCTAGTAGTCATTCATTAGAGAGTTGTTTAGTTTCTGTGAGTTGCTAGACTTTCTGTTGTTGAAATCCAGCTTTAATCTGTTTTGGTCTCATAGTTTGCAGGGGATTATTTTAATTTTCTTGTATCTGTTGAGGCTTGCTTTGTGACTGGGTATATGTTCAGTTTTGTAAAATGTTCTATGAGGTATTGAGAAGAATGCATATTGTTTTGTGTTTGGATTTTGTTTTCTGCAGATATCTGGTAGTTCCATTGGCTTTATAATGTATAGTAACACAAGTATTTCTGTATTAATTTTTGTCTAGATGACCTGTGTGCTCAGGATTGAGCTTGACTCCTTGCCTTAACAGCTGACACTGGCTAAAATAAAGGCAACAAACCACTCATCTAGTACTTGAAATGAATACTGTTAGCCTAAAGTGACACTTTATTCCTCCTCCCAACCATTTAGTGGAACTGTTTAGGATGGATGAGGAGGGGGTTGCCTTTTGGGAGTATGAATCGTCTTGGAGGAAGTTTATCACAGAGAGTGGAATTTGAGGTTTCAAAAATCCATGTTAGGGCTAATATCTGTCACTTCCTGCTCCCTACAGTTCAGGTTGTAAAGTTCTCAAATAGTGCTCCAACACCACACCAATGTGCTTTCTGCCATGATGATATTCACATTTACCCTCTAAAACTGTTAGCAAACATCAACCCTAATATTTCTTTTACAAGAATAAATAAATATAAAAAGAATGGGTACTGTACTCATGGATGATTCAATTTTGGTTCCCATGTCATCACCCATGTCATCACCCACTCTCATTTATAGCCATCTGCAATCACATATATGCATAGTTACACAAACACACATACACATTTATAATAAAAATGAAATAGATATCAACTTAAGGACTGAGATGGCTAATGTGTTGATAGTAATACAGGGTTACCTAAATTTATATGATCGAGGCAGATTACTAAAGCCCAAATTTCTCCTATGGACAATGTCAGAGATTTAATGGTATAAGAATGTGTAAGAGTCAAATGAGAATATCCTATTGGACACAGAAAAAGGCCAAAATAAATAAATAAATAAATAAATAAATAAATAAATAAATAAAACAAAACAAAAGTCAAGAAAATTATTTTTCTCTGGTACTTTGGAGGGAATGCAACTTTGTCAACACAATATTAGTTTGTCTCACTGTTTTGACTTTCATAAGTATTTGTGCTATTTAGCCCTTATGTTTGAAATCGTTTTTGTTTTCTTTTAACTTTTTTTTACAGTTGTCATAAGATACTTATTTAGTAAGAATTTGAATAATAAAACAGATTGCTATTATTTCTATTATAAAAATTTAAGGTGACTGAAGCTATCAATAATCCATGAAAGCACAAATGATGTTTTAAGATGTGAGACTTTTCTAACTTGTTCTGAGAGTGTTTTTATCCACATCAAATCACATATTCCCTTATGAATACTAATGCATGTAGTTGCTCAGGTCATATTAGCTTCATCTACAACCAAAAACTTCCCTTGATGAGCATAACAGCCTTTCATGTTTTCTAGCAAGCTTTGCAGTTAAGAGTTCAGGGAATGAATGCAGAAGGTCCTACAAAACTTCCTTGTCTACCTATTCCTATAGTATACATCTAGTGGGATTAGGGTATGCAAATTCAGTTTACGTTCAACTGCTATCATCTGTCAATAGCTAATCACAAAAGACAGATATTAAATATACATTTTCTTTTAATATCAATACTACCAAGTTTGAGAACTCACACAATATTTTTAATGAAAAATAGATTTTTTTCATATAACATGTTATGAATATGTTCCCCTCACAACTTCTTGCAGAACCTACCATCTGTACACACAGTGAAATCCACAGCCTATCTTGCTCTCTTTTTAGAAAATAAACAGGCATCTAAAAAACAGAACTATAATAAGAAAAAATAAAAGCAGAAATTACTGAATAGGGAAAAAGAATAAGTAAAAAGGAACATGAGACAAAGGAAAGGTGTAAGAAGCAGATACATACACAGAGACACACAAATTCACAAACACAGAAAACCCAAAATGATACAAACTCAGAAACCATGAAATATATGTAAACAACCTTGCCTAGGAAAAACATCAGGAGTTGAACAAACCAATAAAGAACTGTTAAGTTTTATCTTGGCCTTCTATGGATAAGCAGAAGATATCCCCATAGGTATGGTGTGTATATACAATTAGATTAATCCTGGGATACTATCTGGCTTAGACCTGTCTAGGACTTGTCCATCTTCCAGTCTTTGTGATTTCATCTGTGCATCAGCTTTGCTGTGTCTAAAAAGTATAGTTTTCTTGATGCCTTTCATTACTCTTGGTTTTTACAATCTTTTGCCTTCTCCTCCCTATAGCTTCCTAATTATTGAGGTGAGAGATTGGTACAGATAATTAATTTAGAATTGAGTGTTCAAGAGTCTATCTCATTCTCTGAAAATTACCCAGTTGTTAACTCTATATGAGTTCCACCTACTGCAAGAAGTGTGTCTAATGATACCTGAGCAAGACACGGGTCTATGGGTGAAAATGTTATCAGGAGTCATTTTAGGGTCTGTTAGAAGAACTGAAGTATTTGAATTTCCCCGAAGTCCAAGTAACAGATTCTACAGCCATCTTAGAAGTAGTGTTTGGCCAGGCACTCCATCTCATGGAATGGGAAATAAATACACAAGTAAATAAATAAACCCATAAATAAATGACAGTTGGTTAATCCCACACTTTTTGAGCCACTAGGAACATTAGTGTGGTGGTTTGAATTAAAAAAGAAAATTGGCCCCATGGGTCCATAAGAAGTGGCACTACTAGCAGGTATGGCCTTCTCAGAGTAGGTATTGAGTTTTTTGAGGAGGTGCGCCACTAGTGGATGGGCTTTGAGGTCTCAGAAGTTCAAGTCAGGCTTCATGTTTCATAGCCTCTTCTTAGTCAACTCCATCTTGAGTATCGTATCTGCCTGCGCCACCATGCTTCCTACCAAGATGATAATATACTAAACCTCTGAATTCTAAGTCAGCCACAATTAAATGCTTTGTGTTAAAAGAATTGCCATGGTCAAGGTGCCTCTTCACAGCAATATAAACTCTTAAGATACCTTGACAGTAGGGTTAAGGCTCTAGGCAGGCTCTCCATAGACATGTCTATGTTCAACGAGTTATCTAGAGGCTGTCTTCAGCAAAATAACCTTAGTATCATTTTGTGCTGAACAAGTACTATAGCCTTGACAATAGTCAGGCATTCTTGAAATTATTCAATGATGCAATTTTCCTCAGAAAATGAATTTACAGACAGTGAATTGCAATAGAGTAAGTGCACTTAATATGAAAATAAGCACATTCATTTTTAAAAGCACACACATAGGTAAAATACTATCAAGTAATTTCATATATTATGTTTATTTTTCTAAAATTAATAGCTTTATGATACCTCAATTTTTGCTTATATCAGATAATTCATCATTTAAGTTTCTATGCTATTATCTTACTTTTGAAGAAAAACAGAGAGTAAATTATATCTGAACACTGTAACTGGCAAAATTTCTTCAGGCAAGGTGCTCACATTTGTTTTGTTTATTGCTGGTTATAGCATCAAAACTTAATGAGTCCTACAGAGTTATATGTAAATAACAGTGTAAATAAAATGGAACATTGGTGTCTGAATGAAAGTACACAAAGCTCATGGCAGATTTATGAAGATTAAATATTTGTGGATGTGAGGCTAAACAATAAGGTCAAACATTGCAGCAAGATTATAAGCCGTTAGGTGTTTAAATCACATGAACCATTTGTGAATATATTATGAGCAGTAATAGTTTATGTAGCTCAAGTACTAAAGTGTAGTACTACCAGTCCTAAGAGCAGTTTGGCTTAGAACTTTTCATTTTTTTTTCATATTAGTGTTATTTAACTTTTCAAATTTACATATATATATTTCAGGTAAAAGCCATTATTTTATTCAGATGTTATAATTATAAAAGATGTAATAACATTTTGTATATCTAAATGATTTTATCATTCTGTTTCTCAGATCATTTTAACAAGTTTAAATATCATGGTGAATAATTATTAAACATCTTAAAATTGCCATTTAAAATAACTTTCACTTATTTTGTGTCGGAGGTGTATTATGAGGGCCTACATCTATCAATGTACCTATATAAGAGACAAAGGACAATTTGTGGGTTCATTTCCTCTCTTTTGGACATCCTTTGATATTCATATGTTCAAACTAGACAGGAAACACTTGGACACTCTCACAGGCAATGGTAGTTTTTGTTTTGTTTCTTAGGTTTTTATTTATTTATTCATTCATTCAATGCATAAGACAAATGTAAAAAGAAATGGGGAGCTATTGCCACTCCAGTCAAGTTGATTCAATCATCATATCTTTAATTTCAGAAGTGGTACCAATAGCACACATAATTTTGTCTTTTAAATGGACTCTCATTCTATTTTTCAAGCTGAGATCACCAAACATAGTTTCAATAACAAATAATAAAGTAGAGATTTTTAAAGTCTGACAAAACTGTGTCATTCCCAACATTGTTCCCATTAAGCAATAGTTTAGCACTGGATATATGTGTCTGTTTCTGTCATCAATGCCCACAAAGAAGAGAAAATAAAGTTATTGATTTATTATTCCCTTTGTTTTTATGACATGCTTTCCTTTAAAAAAATAATATGACTGGTTTGTTTTCACATTCTAATTTGCACTGCATTGGACAAACTATTTTTTGTTTCATTAGAATTGATAAATATTTGATTTTATTTTCTATCAGGAGCTACGACCATAGAGAAGTATGACCTCAGAACAAATCTCTGGATCCAAGCAGGAATGATGAATGGCAGGAGACTTCAGTTTGGTGTAGCTGTTATTGATGACAAGCTCTTTGTCATTGGAGGTCGAGATGGCTTAAAGACATTGAACACTGTTGAATGTTATAATCCCAAAACAAAGACATGGACTGTTTTGCCACCAATGTCCACACATAGGCATGGTCTAGGTAAGTCCTATGATTATCGATGTAATGTTTAGAAAAGTCTTTGAACATGTAAATTATTGAAATCAATAAAAGTTAAGTGCTATAAGTTCTTACATAAAATGTCCATTTGAAGACAGTATTTTAGTATAAGGAGTTGAATAAGAGGACTTTTTTGAATCTATAGCCCATGTGGTGAGGGTGGTAAGAAAAACTGCCAAGCACTTCTTTCAAAGAATTGACAGACCACAGGTAAGTGACTGCACACATTTTATGTATTTAGGATATGCATATTAAGACATGTCATAGTTGAATTATACATCTTATATTTAGATATGCACAGGAAAACAATTCTATAATAATTTAAAAAGTATATATAAATAATATTAATTCACAAAATATCAAGTTCACATATACACACACATATTCTACTATCAATCTAAGATGTGAGCATTAGAGTTGAACAGAATAACACTATCCTACAATAGACCCATTTCCAAAGCCATACAAAAAGCACATTGTAAATGTTCACGTTGATATGGGAGTGTAAGGAAAGTTATCTAAGGTGTATGACATTCAGTCTTTCCCATTGGCTTTAGATACCCAATAACAACTTAATAGTTCACCTGTTCCATGTCTATTCCTCTTGTGGTGTGTGCATTCCCTACATCTTCCATCACAAACTGATACATCACCTCCACCAACTTGCCTCATGATTTTGACTATCTTTGTTCTTTGCTCCCTAATGCTTATTTCTTCCTATCATTTTCTTGTTTTGAGGAGAAGCTGTGGTGATAAATTATTTATGGTTCATTAAAGCTTGCTTGAGGATTAAGAAAGCAGTCAGTCACAAGTTATTGAAAACAGGCAGTGGTGACAGACACCTGTAATCCCAGGAGCCAGAGCTAGGAGGTGGTGGTACACACCTTTAATTCTAAGAGGTAGATGAATCTCTGTGATCCAATGCCATCCAGATCTATACAAGGTTGTCAATCATAAAGATGACACACAAAGTTGATCTCTGCACCTGGGATCATACACCTTTAATCCCAGCATATAAAAGATAACCAGCTGGTTGCTTCCAGGTTCTTGCTATTACAAATAATGCTGCTATGAACATAGGTGAACAGATGTCCTTGTTGCATGAATGTGGATCATTTGGGTATATGCCTAAGAGTGGAATAAGATTTCCTGAGCATATTGGGAGTGGGAGGGGGTGGTGAGTGGAGAGCGAGCTAGAAGAAAGAACATGTGGACATGTGGGACTAGAAAGACTGAGTCAGGGGAGGAATAGATGGGAATTAAAAAAATACAGATACCATAAAAGAGATAAAAGAGGGAGTCACTCTAGAGAAATGTCCAGAGACCTACAAGACTGGCCCCAACTAACAATATTAGCAATAGTGGAGAGGCTACCTTAAATGCCCTTACCTGATAATGAGATTAATGACTAACTTATCTGCCATCATAGAGCCCTCATCTAGTAGCTGATGGAAACAGAAGCAGACACCCACAGCTAAACACTGAGACAAACTTCTGGAATCCAGATGCAGAGATGAGGAGTGATAAGAAAATGGGGGCAAGACCAGGCTACAGAAACCCACAGAGACAGCTGACCTGAATAAGGGGGAGTTCATGGACCCTCACCCAGACTGATAACTGGGAAACCAGCATTGGTCTGACTCAGACCCCCTAAACATGGGTCTCAGTTAGAAGGCCTGGGCAGTCTAAAGGACCTCTGACACTGGAACCAGGATGTATCCTTGATTCAAAAAAGGACTTTGAGAGCACATTCCCCATGGAAGGATACTCCCTTAACCTAGAGGCAGGAAGGAGGGCCTACTCCCTACTACAAATGAATTAACAGATTTTCTTGATCACTCCTGAAAGGCATCACCCTCCCTGTGAAGTGTGGGAGAGATGTAAAGGGTTTAGGGGCCATGGTAGAGAGGGAGGGGGAGGGAAGTGGGATCTATATGTAAAACAAGAAAATAATAATAATAGTAATAATAATAATAATAAAAAGACAGGAGCAGGGTCTTCAGAAAGCAGTATCAGGCATTCGTCCTCCAGCCACAATGAGGATAGGAAGATATTCAGTCTCATGATTCTTTAGCCATGTTGAGGAGAGGCAGAAATCTAAGGTTTGGTGGAGCCAGGATCACCTTTCATTCTGACATAGAGTAAGAGCTAGTTACCAGCTGGTTTGCTTTTCTGACCTTCAACTTGAAGCTTGAACCCAAATATATGTCTTTGTGTCCTTTTAACTTTTGTGTTACAGAACAGTCTTCTACAGAACTTCTAAAGTGTGGAGCAGCCCATAATAATAAAACTACAACATAGAAATCACATTTCTGAGAATTCTCTCATTTGAAATAACCCTGGCAATGGTTATGAAAGCCCTGTATAAAAAAAAAAAAATGGCCTTTGGTTTGCACATTCACATTAGGTGCAGTGAGATGAAGCAAGGTTGCTTGTGAAACAAAGTATATACACTCTTTTCTGATCTGACAAGTATCCAACTATGAAGATTTTAATGAGAGAAAGCTCCATGTATTTGTCCTACATAAACACAGTAAGAATTCAAAGTCAGCACTGCCTTCTCTGTAGCCATGTGGTATCAATATTGATATTGTTTATTTTTGTCATTAATATGCTTTAAGTTTTATTTACTTTTCATGTCAGTTCCTCTGATTGATTAATATCCAGTTTTTGAATTATTCTTAGTTTACATAAAGTCACAATATTTGTGAAATGTAAATACTTACAGTATTTTAATGTCAAATTTAGGTTTATAAAGTGAAACAATTGCTACATAGCAAGTCACTATATTGTTTTCTTCTTTGAACAGTGTTAAAATTGTGTGTTATCCCTGTGAATTTACTTTCTTTGAAATTTGCTTCTCCTTATTTCTTTTTTAATTTGTGGTAAATGATCATTTTCCTCTCTGCATTCTTCAATCCTTTCTTCAATCTTCTGTTCTCTCTTTTCTGCTCCTTTTCCTCTTCTTCCTCCTCCTTCTCCTCCCTGCTCTCCCATTTCTGACTCTTATCCTCACTTTCTTTTGTCTTCTTCTTAATCTTCCAATTATTTTTAATGGTTGTGGCAGATATGTACACGGTAGGGTTTCTGAATCTTTTATGGATCATGTGAATAAGAATTATTCTAATTCAATAAGGATCAAGTCTCTTGGATTTCTTTGCAACATAGCTTAGTAATTCACATGAATGCAAACATTGCATAAATTGTATTCCCATTTCGCTTTTAGAATATCTGCTGAATCTATTGCCTACATTGTTATTTCACGCAAGAAGTAACAATTGACTTCATTATTTTTGGTCATTGTTTTTTAATTTATTCTTAGATACTTCCACAATTACATAATGATTCTACCAAAATTTGCTTCCTAGGAAATTCTCCTTCTGCTTTCATGTCTCCTTTTATATATGACTCACAGCTTCTAATTGGGATTGCACATAAGAGCAAGTGTGTATATAGACAATTTTTAGTGAATGCACTACTGAAGGAAATGACACATCTGTAACCATTAATAGCTAAAAGTCCATTCAGTAAAGGTAGTTTCTGAAGCCCCTCCCTCATCCACAATGAAATATCAGCAGGCCAATTTTGTACTTATCTTGCACAATTAATCACAGCTACAGTAAGTTCATGAATTCACATATAATGCCAAGTCCAGAAGACATTCTGTGTGGTTGGGGTCCCTGTCCTCTGTACTCTTTCCACTGTGTGTACCATGTTTCTCTAAGTCTTAGCAAGGGTAAAATATAGTAGTGACCTGGAACCCTGACCAAAATAGCTAAAGTTAGTATATAAAAAAAAAATATATATATATATATATATATATAGGAATAATTTGAAGAAAATGTATATAATTTAAAACAAAAGCCATAGGATTTTGACCTGTCAAGCATTTTATCTTGATCACCTAATATATTTTTAATATATTAATATATATTCATAGTTTATGAGGTCACAGAAATAGGTTAATTGATAAAGGTGATAAAGTGTTAAAATATTTTATAGTTTTCAATAAATTTACTATGTACTTTCTACTTGGTCAACTAGACTATGAAAATAATATGAATATTAACTTTGTGGTATCAGAGAAGCCATGTGTCTGCTTAGAGAATACAACTAATTAAGTCAATGTGTTTTCAATTAGCTACAAGTATTTACTATAACATTAATTTCTATAAAACATGACTATGAAAATAATATCTTTTTCATATTTTATGTAGATAAAATTTGATAAGACAATACTTCATATTTTCCAAAATAGTCTGTTGAGGAAAGATATATTGAGTAATATAATGACTGGCTATAAAAGAAATATATGCCTGGGATTGTTTTGCTCTTGTGTGATTTGATTTTTTATGGAACACAATGAACATAATATTCTTAATAGAGAACATAATAATAGAGCAGAGTAAATTTTTTTTAAATTAAGAATTAGGAAATGCTCCTTTCAAACATTTTACAGCCAATATTTCCATCTCATTCATTTGTCCCTTGTGTCTCCTGACACACTCAGGTCAATAGTTTTATAGTTCTTCCACAGTGCTGCATCTAACAAGTAAGGAGAGTATTAAGTTTGCCTGTTTTCTCTGTTTCTGGCATTTCCTCAGCCTTACAGAGGCAGTGCAATAAGATGTCTCATATTTCTTTTATCACATGCAAAAGAACATCAGGTTAATATTTAACAAGCTTCATATTAAACATTTTTATAACAAAGGCATTTTAAAGACATTAATGATGACTATTGAAAGCAGAAATAGAAGTTACATTTTCTCATTTACAATTCATGAAGGATGAATGTTTGAAATGATCAATTAAAATATTTATTATCTGAATGATATACACTGAATTTCAAATTCAAATTCAAGTATATATATATATATATATGTATGAATTTGTATAAGAAGGTACACAATAATCATGATATATACATACATATAAATGTATATAGATTTCTTTGTGAATGCCAATATATTACTCCCTCCCTG